ATATATGTATACTATTTAATTATATACTATATATATATATATTAAAATATACACACTATATATACATACACTATATATACTACATATATATATATATATACTATATATTGAATATGTCAGATTGATGTCACATGTGTATAGCTATGACCGATGTAGGTCATCTCTCGAAGCTCGGTGTCTCGCTCTTCATATCCACGTGTAGCACATCACGTACTGTAAAAAAAGGGGGCAATGGTTCTGTCAGTAGACCAGTAGGCTGTAATTAATTATCTCTACAATTCTCATCAATTGGAACTATTTGGAACATCGATCTGGATTTATTGAGCATACTCGCAATGGGATGATGTAAAATGAACCCCAAATGGTTGATAATTGGGAAAGGTTCATTCCTCTGGGTTTACCGCATTATTGAAAAGCGGTATATCTTTCCCAGCCTAGTTGGGCCATCAATCCACTAATAGGGATTCAGATCCCTCAAGACACACAGATTTCCAGCATCAGTATGGGATGGATGACTATTAAGCATTATTAAACCATATATTTACCCCAAGAAACCTTGACTACTGCACTTAGTTCCTTCGCAGGAGAGCACCTGGATGTTCGTGGCGTTTTTCGCTGTGCTGCTGGCCTTTTGGGTCATTTGGTGGTTGCAATGGGCCTTCGCCGGGACGCTCCTTGGTGAAAACCGGTAAAGGTGACCATTATTACTACCTACGATTATACAATATTCATAGGGATGTATGTGTATTTATGTGGATTCATGTGGATTTATATAGATTTATATGGATTTATGATTATTTGTTATTTAATTATGTGGATTTATATGGAATGATCATGATGGAGATATCGGATATTTCTATAGTACCCGGTAGTACCCTGGTCTTGTTCACAGTTTTCTATGAACGCCATGATCCATTTGGATCGATGATTTACCTATCAAACATGGTGATTTTCCATAGCCATGTTACATCACCAGGGGGTATATACCACTAGACTTAGCCAAGATCAGATACCAGTTCATCCACGTTTTTTAGCGTCATATGAAACAATTTAATCAACATTTTTTTGCAGACACACACTGACATATAATATACAAAATATACACACCCTTTGAATGATACGGTTTCAATGAATTTCTCTGGCTGATGGTTTCACTTTGATTCTGTCCCTAGTTGGGATGATGATCCCCAAATGGTCCCAAATGGTCTCAAGGTGTAGTCGTTTTTTTTGGCACCAGTGATTGGTGATGGAAAAAACACTCTTAAAGAACATCGCTCTGTGAGGTTCGGTGCGGTTCTTCAAGCAATGTGGGCCTTGTGCTGCGCTTCTCACAAAAAGCAGGTGGGGCCGGGGCGGCTGGTGTGCCGGGTTGCCTAATCTTTTTTCCAGATATTCAGAGGAGTCGCATATTCTTGAGCCTCACTAGATACATGCTGGACAGTGTACAGATACATGTGTATATATATATACACATAGATATATAGATACACACACAGACACACACACACGCATACATATAATGTATACGTATATATATATGTATACATATATATGTATACATATATAAAAATAGACACACACAATATATATATATAATTCATAATTTGCAATAATTTGCAGATGTTAGAAATTATATGTATGATGTAAAGATATCGAACCGTTCCTGACCTTCTTAGGACGAGGATGTCATGGAAGCTGTGAAGACGGGCGCGGAGGACTTGGACGGCACCCTGCAAAGCTTGGGATCCAAGGCACAGGCACGATCCGCTACGAAACGGCGGGTAGCACCAGCCAATACCAGCCATAGAAATGGCTGATTCAACCATGAAAATATATGAAAACATATGAAAACTGGTGATTTACCATGATTTAACCCGAGAACAATGGGCTTGTCCCTGTCAAAGTCGGTGATCTGACTAAAAATCCATGGATTTTGCCCCATGAACAGTGGCATTTCACATCAAAAGCTGGTGGAAATAAAAGTGACTCACACTGGTATCTGGTTGAATGTGGGATCTACAATGCGATAAGCCATCCCCAATCATGAATCACAAAGTGGGGATGGCTTATGGCATTGTGGGATCCCACATTGTTCCCAGATTGGAATTTCTGTTGCCCAGAACCAACGGGTCAGATGGGATGGATATCATATATCAGGTGTATCAGTGTATCCTACAATTTCCATGGTTAGGATCGAGCTACTTGCAGTACAGCCAAAATCAGGTAAGTGAATTGGTTTCTACCATCTTATAACATTATAATATTTTGTATACCTTCTGATAGCTTACAACTGGGACATTATATGCTAATGCTCACTTTACGGATCAATTCAGTGGGGAAGGCCATTCTTGAATGGAACGTAGATGGATCAGGAAAATCATAAGATGCCAGTGGAGGAATTGCAGTTTTGGCCTTTGTTCTGCCCATAGAGCAGCTGCTTTTGTTCTTGATACCGGTAATCAAACATGGTGACAATCCGGGTTTATAGATGATTTCCCATTGCCATATTGTTTTTTATAGATGATTTCCCATTGCCAAAACAATCCCATTGACAAAATAGAAGTTTTATAGAATAATTCCCTTTAAAACATCCGTTTTGGCTTGACTTCCCATTGCCATATGGTTTTTTCCGGTCCACTTTTCCCCCTTTTAAGTGGCATCTTCCCCATCGTCCGGCCAGAAATTTGATGTGGCGGAGATGCTCAGCTGGGAGGAAGCCAAGGCTCTCATTGAAAAGAATGGACAAACCTCCTCCTACCACTGGTGGGAGCATCCCGATCAGCTCCTTGGCACTGACATGACGTAGTCCTGCTTGGTCTTTGATGGAATTGCTGGCGACTATGTTTAGGGAATGGAAAATGAACATTGATAGATAGATGGATGGATGGATGGATGGATGGATAGATAGATATGTATATATATATATACATAATTATATGCATACATACATTATGTATATGCATATTTTGGAGATGATTGTCCTGTTAGACAGGATGTTCCAATCATTTTCCATTGCCATGTTTTGAAAGGAAGTAAGTAGTTGCATAGCGACAGAAGAGCATGACATTTGCGAGAGATAAAGAGGGTTGAACAGCAGAATCATGATTTATCATGATTTGGCATATGGCTTGGACATGCTTGGACTACTGCCATGTTTCCAAATCCCCCTTGTTCAAAGTCGCCATGGCGGTTTTTTTCTCACTCTGGCAGTCCAGCACCCTGAGGATAGAACTTGCGCACCACATGAAGGGCAACATAGGCCAGCTGGCAGTTTTCACCGGGTTGTTCCCGCACACTTTGACCTGGAGGCAGCCAACCAGACCGTAAGAGAGTCATACCAAGCCCCATTATATAAATTATATCACGATTACGGAAGAGGATGTTTTCGAGTGGTACTCGTAGCTCTTTAGCCCCATGGCCCCTCAAAGCATGCACTAGGAAGAAGCTCTGGCATACAATTTAGCTCTTTTTGGATGGTGTTAGTCGCTCTCCCCTTTCCTTGCGGCAGGATTGCAAAAATGTTCAAGTGTCGATTGTCATGACTCAGAAACTGCGGCTTCAAAGTGTTGATTATCATCATGAACAACCATGGCAAACCATGGGTTTTTACAATGGTAAAACCAACGTCATGTTTACCATCCCCAATGACTTACCATAAATGGGTGCTTTACCCCAAATGGTGCCAGGTGTTGTCCCTCAAGGGGACGGAGCATTGCGAGCATAGCGCCCTCGTCACTTGGTGCTGGCGGCTATCTACCCAACTGAGTCGTAGGGTCCACCTATAATATATGACATATATATATATAAATATTATCTGTATAACATAATATATGATTAATTATATAACTATAGTATATTAATTTGTATATATATATAATTCAATACACACACACACATATATATAGAATACAATACACACACACATATATATATTATGTATAATATATCATGTACAGTTATTTGTTATTTATATATATATATACACATAATATTCACCTCACACACGCAAGATCCGTTAAAATTAGATTATGTTCATGAAACAAATCAGGAGATTGAGAGCTGGCTTTCATATCTTTTGGCTGCTTGCACAGAAGCGCTCTAAGGCTATTTGGAAAAAGACGGAATAAAGATGGAAAAGATCGAAAGGCTCAGAATCGTCTTGCACGACATCCTTCTCTACGGTTGCCTCAGCTTTAGTTATTGGACAATATTGGACCAGCGACGGGCTCTGGAACAAGTGAAATGTGGCCTGCATGAGGGGCCACCTGATACAAATCAAAATTGGAATTTCTACCCAAATTAGATATATATATATATGTATATATATATATATATTTGTTCAGAGTTTCCCAGGATGATTCCATGGTCTTTTGGGTTTAGGGCTTTGGGTTTACGGTTTCATGCTTTTGGGTTTTAGGGTGTTGGAGTTCAGGATTAGTCGAGCAATGATGCACAGGTCTCCTAGTTGAGCGCTTCAGGAATGCCAGAATGACCCACTATTTACAGAGTCTAGGGCAAATCTAGGTGTTTGGCCCGTAAGCATAATTATCTCTTCACCCCACACCCATCTCTCACATAAAATCAGGCTTCATAATATGGACAGTGGATTTGTCATGTGGTACACGGACCATCATATCCATCATTGACCAACCAAACTCAAAATCAATCCCTGGGTCAGAACTTCCGTGTTTTTCTTTTTTAGAATCATTGTTTGATGGACATACAAGATCATACAAGACCACCCAAGACGTAGTGACTTTGCGAGCTTGTCAGCATCTCTCACGACTGAAAACTACTAGTTTCTTAATTGACCGAATGGGCATGTCCGGCATGTCCCCCCCAAAAATAATGGTTACCTCCAGTCCAATTGAACTTGGTATTTGACATTCACTGTTATCATGTTTTTCGAAGATCTGAAGATGTGTAAGATGCATGTTTATAATATGTCTGATTCCCCCCTTTCAAAAAAAGGAACGTTGATATAGATTTGGGACTCCCCCAAAAAACACACACAAACACACTCAGAAGAACTCACACAAAACAGCAGCTAGACTTGGCACCCGCCAGCCCTTGGCTCCTTTGCCAGGCAAACGCCGAATGAGGGTCACATGCGGCGCACACCCAACGGTGCTGGCGCGGCGGTGCACGACGCCTTGCGACATGGCCGTGTGGTTTGACTGGAATTGAACAGGAAATTCAGGAAACAACGAGATAGGCCGTGGTCAGGTATGTTAATCATGTTGGATGCAACTTAGTCTTTTGCCAGAAACGGGAACATCTATATACTAACAAATTTGTGGAGGGCAATGACCTGCCATGAAGACATTGTGACAAATGAATCGGATTCGCCTTACTTGAACGATTCGCTCTACTTTATCAGTCATGGAAGGAACTAACATGTATGTTTTTTTTTTTGCATTGCTTGCCGTGTAAAAAATGATTTTCTGATGCATTTTCCACTTGAATTTATTGATGAGAAGTGCAGATCCGACAAACACTAATAGCATATCCTCATATTGCCATATGCCTAATAATGTTTAGTAATTGATATATAATGATATATAGCTGCCATTCCTACCAGAGATGACCAAACATTGTGTAACATACAGTAATTGAATCAGCGGAAGTTCTCCCTCAACTTCGGAAGATCGCAAGTCACCGGGTTACATGGATGCTGGTCCTTGCTACACTGACCGCTGACCATCAGGATGGCTAAAGGCGTAAGACTTGGATGGTGTGTTTATCTCCAATCATTTTACTTGCGCTGCTGACAACTGCAGGGAAACAGATGGAAACAGGAAACTTTCCCTGGATTTTAGGTGTACATTCTCTATACGGCAATAAGTCAGAGAATCAATGTCAAACTGCAGGCCTGCACGTTTTTTGCCGTCACCTGCTGGCATCGTTGCATCATTTGTTCGGAAGTGAGGATACTCAACTGCCAGCCTTTTCATGACTTACTGGAAGTTTGGATTGTGTGGTGCCAAGATGTACCAAGTGGGTTTGTTGAAACATTGCCGCTCGGCAATCCAGTGGTTTTTCTTATCCCCATCAATGGCCTCGCCAGGCCAGAGTCCTTGCTCACCGGTGCTTCGGTTGATTTTTTCTGCCATGCTACATGCTTCACAGGAGTAAGAACACCACAACATGTGTGAGGCTGTTATAGGATTCCTTCACAGCCAAAGCGATGCGCGAAGAAGCAGGACACGACGCTGTAAGCAAACACGTTGCGTTTTGCAGCCAAGCTGGCCTGAGTGTGTAGTGTACTGTAGGGTTCTGGCGTATGTCAAGCGATGAGGTACAGCCAAGAGCAACAGCAGACAGTGGCTGGTAGCACATTAACTTGCAAAGACCCAGAATTATATACTTAATGTGTCATTTCTTGCCCGCACAGGTTCGACAAAATTACATCCTCGATTTTCAGACACTGCATCATGGAAATCATGTTATGTCATCATGTTATGTCAATCCATCTAATGATGAATTCAAAGACTCAGATGTTGAAGAACACACTTGTCTGACGGGGTACCGCAAAATCCAACGGTTTATCACCATGTTTTTCGTCTCCCATCGGCTCCCGTTGGAGCGGAAGAGGCGCAGGCTGCAACACGCACCACGAGCACAACGGGCTTGTTGCGCGGTCCGTTGTGGGGTCCCATTGGGGTCCCGTTGGGACCAGTACCGTAAGGGAAGCGAAGGGGTTTTGATTGCGGCGCCGTGACGTTGATGGATTTGATGGATTCACATGGAATTACTTTAAGCATCTCTAACCCGAGTCAGTTTGCGCTCACAACTCGGATCGCTTCATCATGAGGCTGTAGCTGGGTTACTGGATTGGAAATGCCTAAGACAGGCCCCGGCAGTTCAGTACCTAGTTTTTTAAAAGCCTCGAAGGATTTCTCTTCCGGATCCATGAGGATCCCTTCAAAGTCTTGAGATGGAGAAGTCCACAAAACTGGTCGCACAGCGCATGCTTTCAATTGGCCCGGTTCAGAAGTGATGGCTCCCGGGGTCTGACGTCTGGAGACGTGCCTAGTTTGGCGTAGCCGTGACCATCCAACCATCGACACCACGGCAGTCAGAAGACCCAGCAAGCCCATGAAGCACCATATGAAGCCCATTGACACCTGCTAGTTTTGAATCCCAACAGTTTTTGTTGAAGTGGGGGCCGGGCAGCTTTGCGTGGCCGTCGATGCTGGATCACTTCACATTGGCCGCAGCGTTTTGAAATTCATCTTGCAAGAAGGAGAGAACTCAGACTTGAGTCACTTGAGGCGACCATTTCTGATTATTTCTTTTTAACCTAGGTCAATTTGAGATTATTACTTGTAATTATAATGTATCTGAATGTGTAGTTGTTTTTATAGGAGGTGCCATCAATGGAAACATCAGCATACCGCACAATGTAAGTCATGCCCTGCTGGGGGAGAAACATTATATTTCTTTTCTTCGAAAAGGCAATGATTTGGTTGAGCTCTTTCGACAGGTTGTACTCGATGGTTTTTGTTGGTCACCCCCTCCCCTTTGATGGCAGGTCGGTTCTTCCTTGTTGTCCCCTTTTAGGTCGTTCCAAAGAATTGGAACTGTCCAGCATTTGATGGGATTGGCTTTTTCCAAAATTATATCCAACCCTCAGCAGTTCCGAACGGAGAATGCATCCCAAGCAGCTTTCGTGAGCTTTCTGACTAGTTCATGGTATTTATAAAGATGGGTTTGAATTGGTTTGAACCCAACAATTTCGGACAAGTACTGGTACAGAAATTTGCGACCTGACTGGACCTTTTTCCTGGATGGAAACAACGTTGCCCTAGTCTCAATCAGCTGTACAACCACAGATCCTTTGTTTCTGCAGGCCATCGCTGCAAGTTGATGAGAACATTATGCGACCAACGAATGGGGGTTCATGGGAGTTCAACCATGTTCAACCGGAAAGTCCGGTGCTATCTGGTGCAAATTTCTCAAGTTTCTTGCTTAAGAGAAACCCTATGAGAAGATCACAGACGCAAGTTCTTTCCTTCAAACCTGTTATTTTACCACAGCGCAGCATTTCACATCTCCTGCGCAATTCGCCTAGACAAAAAGGTGCGCAATTTCCTTCAATGTACACGATGATATACGATGATATAGGATGATGATGACATGGTGCTTTCAACTTGTTTCCATTCTTATTTAAAGAAGATAATGCACAATTGATATCAATTGATTCCTTTAGGATGGGTTGAAGCACCGTTGAAGCCACCAGAGACACACAGAGTTTGGACGGACTCCGTCACTGGTCTTTGTTTGGTAGGTGAAAATGGTTGCAGGCCCTCACCTATATATATAATTATATATATATATATATCATTGGTTATCATTGTACATCCATCACTTTGATAGCTTAATTACCTATTATTGTTTGTATCGTTGTTGACTTTGCCCTCCACAGCACCAGTTGTACGCCCAGAAAACGCAACAGGCTTCGGCGGTTTCTGCGCGAAAGGAAGGGCTTGCAACTGGTGTTTCCTGGAGATGGACTTGGGTCATGCCCATCAAACATCGTTTGGGGTTGAGGGAAACCTGAAGGCCTTGATGGGTTTGAAACGGTTGGTGTAAGGGGTTCATGAGTTTCTTTTAACGAACATATATGAACATGTATACAGCAGAGCAGCTTGGTCTGAGATGATCCTCCAGGTTCACGAGGCAATCACATGGGAAGAGTAGTGATATCACATGATATCACCATCATCTGATCATCATCTAACATACAACGGCTCATCGGCTCATCGGCTCATTGCACCACAACATCGCATTCATGACTTCAAATGACGTGAGCACTTCCCGCTGAAGGTTTACCTCTATACCAACCAGTGAGTCACATTAAAATGAGTGGTATAAAATGCATTAAAATGCAACATACAGCCACATTTAGTGAAATTGCTTATTTCTGTTTACCTCTTGATTTAGAAACATGTTTGAAAAAAGTCTTGTCTACGAGTCTACGACGTACGTCTTTGGCAAACCGACGTGGCAATGATCCCAGGTTAACCATGCTCCAGTTACAGAAGAAGGTGCCGCGGTGCCGCCACGTAGCAGTCACAATGGGGCAACAAATGTGAGAATTTGCAGGGTGTGGAAGGCACTTGGTGGTCCATCCGACTATAGTTTAGTTTAGCATAGTTTTACCCAGTATATATATATATATTATATACGTATAGACTGTAGACTCTAGTTAAGCAAGTTATATTCTGTATGATTAAGTATAAATGGGAATAGTTCACCATTACATACCATTACCTATAGTATCCTATAGTATCCTACAAATAGTATCCTGTAGATATCAGTTATACAGTTATATCAATATCATCAATATCATCAATATCCGATATCCATGTTATCTCCCATATTAACCCATAACTATGGACTATTCATGGGCCTTTTTCCATGGCACTCTACGGATCTCTACGGTGTCGGCCTGGAAGCTCCAGGCACGTCAACGCAGCCGCAAGCTGCAACAGTGGCAGCGCTGGTGCCGCACACGGCGACAGCGGGAGGTGCAGCTACAAGGCATGGCAGCACCGGTTCTGCTGGTCCCGGGGTGCCCCAAATTATGGTAACTTTACCATGTAATATGTCATTTGAATGGGAACGCCATTTTCTCGATTTTGGAGTTTTTAGGTAGGAGTGATATGAAAAGATATGAACAGTGACTTAGCACTTGAGGTTGCTCAACTCTTCCATACTCTGAACAGACTTTTGTATGTGGGAATGGCTTAAGATAGCTTACCATCAGCATCCGGCAACCAAACACCCATTTACAGAGGATTTTTCCAGCTATAAATCTCCATTTCCCGGGGATTTCCCGCAGAGGATGAAATGATTGAAGCGAAGTATTAAATCCCATTCATATTATATATATAATTATGAATCCTTATTAATCCGTATTAATCCCATGAATATCCCCATGATTCCTCCCATTAATATCTATATATTCCAATGATATCCCCATGATATTCCCAGCTGTACCGGGAGGGTGTCCAAGCCCAGACGGATAGGACACCTGCACAACTGCCTGGAGCCACGCTTGCTGCGGCGCTTGCTGCTCCTTTGGGCGACATGGACGCGGCAGGAGCAACGGAGCCGCGGCAGGATGCGAACGGCGCTGGGAAAAACGCGCCGGGGACGGGGAACAAATGCCAGATATGTGTATTATATGTATATGTGTATATTTACAATATATATATATATTATATTGGGTTAGTAGTAACATGCATAATATAGTTGTATATATAATTCTGTCTCTCCATATTCATATGAAAACAGATGGATGGATGGATAGACATGTGAGCTCCTAAGAATCCTGTTAGTAACTATATGGAATATTGTGGAATGATCTCTGTTATATCTATCTATCATTACATGTCGATATGAAATTATCCAGCTATATGTATATATATATACATATGGATTCCGGAATAATCCTGTCACTAAGTGGGCAATGATGAGATAGTGTAAGGGTTCCATCTGGGACCAGAAATGGTGCAATGGCATACCAGTGCGTCCCAGGAATCGTAAGTGGCTAAGAACATGTCATAGACATCTCAAGTAATCAAGTAACCCATTTTCATTCGATGAATATCGCCAGCAATATGCTTTGGTATCACGAAAACTGAGAAAAATATGCGGGTTCAACTGAATTTCAGGAGATCGTGCGAACCATTCCAGCATATTCCAGGTGGTTCTGTTTACTCGTTTCTTTCTTTTCAACATGTTCAAGAGGCAGGATTTTTATCAAGGACATGAGTGATATGAATCACAAATTGTCCGGACCCGAAATTGGCATTTTTCATGGGGTCATGTCCAAGCTTTGGGGAACCCGACAGTTGATGGCATCCAGTAACTTCGGATATGGGCGGCTCAGGAACCAAGCGACATTGCAAAAGGCCCACGTCGTGCTGAATTTGCTGCGAGCTCAGACCGAATAGCAGGGAATAGCCATGAATAGCCTCAAGTTTTCGAAGCATGCCGCAGCTTTTCCACGAAAAACAGTGCTGTTGCCCCTCCATCTCATAATGCTCCAAATTTGGATTAATCCTTGCTTTTAGCAGGGTGGAACCGCGTCACAACGCATGGAGCGGTAACGCGCTGTAACTATACAGTGCACACGGGGATGCAGAATTAGGGAAAGACAAGGTGGCTTGGACGGACTCATTGTACATATTTGTACATCTAACGGCATGCATTTCTTCGTTTGCACTACTTCAGATTCGGATGGTTATCACTTTTTGTTAGACGCTATATAATTTGCGAGGCTGCATCACTTCATGGCAATACCTTATGGTAAACTAACAAAACTATGGAAAATCACAATATTTAATGGGTAAATAAACTATAAATGGCAATTTTCAATAGCTTTTGTATGTTTACCAGAGGGTACATAGGAATGTCTGATGGTTTCTGGCATGTTCCACCGAACAGGTCACTGAAGAGTCGCAGCTTCCATGCCTGGCTCCAACGGCAGAAAGGTGTGCAAAAGGCTGCGAGCTGCCTCAGAGGCCAGCGGCCAGGTAGCTGGGCCTTTTTTTGATACAGGAGATACAGGAGATATCGCATATTATTACTGTCTATATATATATATAAATATATTAACGGATATATAATAACTATAATATATTTATATACATATCATTATATATCTAAATCTGTCTATCTATCTATCATTCGATCTATCCTATCCTATCCTATCCTAATCTAATCTAATCTAAACTAATCTAATCTAATCTAATCTATCTATCTGTCTGTCTGTCTGTCTGTCTGTCTATCTAATCTGTCTATCTATCTATCTATCTATCTGTCTATCTATCTATCTATCGATCTATCTATCTATCTATCTACCTAGCTATCTATCTATCTATCTATCTATCTGTCTAATCTGTCTAATCTGTCTAGTCTGTCTAATCTGTCTCATCTGTCTAATCTATCTAACCTGTCTAATCTATCTAATCTATCTAATCTATCTAATCTATCTAATCTATCTAATCTATCTAATCTATCTAATCTACCTAATCTATCTTATCTACCTTATCTACCCTATCTACCCTATCTACCTTATCTACCTTATCTACCTTATCTACCTTATCTATCTTATCTATCTTATCTATCTTATCTATCTTATCTATCTTATCTATCTTATCTATCTTATCTATCTTATCTATCTTATCTATCTTATCTATATCTATCTTATCTATCTTATCTATCTTATCTATCTTATCTTATCTATCTTATCTATCTTATCTATCTTATCTATCTTATCTATCTTATCTACTTATCTATATCTACTTATCTATCCTATCTATCTTATCTACCTTATCTACCTTATCTATCTTATCTATCTTATCAGTCTTATCAGTCTTATCAGTCTTATCAGTCTTATCAGTCTTATCAGTCTTATCAGTCTTATCTACCTTATCTACCTTATCTACCTTATGTACCTTATCTGTCTTATCTGTCTTATCTGTCTTATCTGTCTTATCTATCTTCTCTATCTTCTCTATCTTATCTATCTTATCTATCTTATCTATCTTATCGATCTTATCGATCTTATCTATCTAATCTATCTAATCTATCTAATCTATCTATCTATCTATCTATTTATCTATCTATCTATCTATTTATCTATCTATCTATCTATCGATCGATCGATCTATCTATCTATCTATCCATCTATCTATCTATCTACCTATCTATCTATCTATCTATCTATCTATCTATCTATCTATCTTATCTATCTTATCTATCTTATCTATCTTATCTATCTTATCTATCTTATCTATCTTATCTATCTTATCTATCTTATCTATCTATCTATCGAGCTAGCTAGCTAGCTAGCTATCTATCTTATCTATCTTATCTATCTTATCTATCTTATCTATCTTATCTATCTTATCTATCTATCTTATCTTATCTTATCTTATCTTATCTTATCTTATCTTATCTTATCTTATCTTATCTATCTATCTATCTATCTATCTATCTATCTATCTATCTAATCTATCTAATCTATCTAATCTATCTAATCTATCTAATCTATCTAATCTATCTAATCTATCTATCTATCTATCTATCTATGTATGTATCTATCTATCTATCTATCTATCTATCAATGGGTTAGGTTTAAGCGACAATTTAGAGGAAATCGCCCAGAATTCAGGAAAATGCATGCTTTCCAGTTAAGATTTTCCCTTAAACCAATCCATTGATATATGGGAAAAAATGAACATCATCATTTTGAATAGGCAATTCATAAATAAATAAATAAATAAATATGTATATATATATATATGTGTGTGCAATTTTCCATAGCTATGTTTTTTTTTGAAAATCTGGAGGGCACATGTCTATATATATATTATATGTGTGAAGGAGCAACATTAACAACTGACCTTTATTGGAATTAAATGGATATATCATTGGCATTTATTTATGTTGTTATGTAAATATATATTCATGGGTATATTTTGTGTTTTTTTTTTGTGATTGAAACAGTGCGGAATTTCACCAAAGTATCCTGATATTTGCATATGTATATACATATATTTATATAAAGCACCCCAAAAAAAAGATTGAGAAAAGTGATTTAGCTATCACTATTTTAGTAGGAAATTGTTTTTTTAATCTTTTTTGGGATGTTTTGTATAGATAGACTTTACAGTTATATTTATTTATTTTTGTATTTAGTTTTGTATGCATATGTATTAAAATGTATGATGTGTTTATATGTATTCATATGTATTTATATGTATTTATATGAATTTATATGAATTTATATGTATTTATATGTATTCATATGTATTCATATGTATTTATATGTATTTATATTTATTTATATGTATTTATATGTATTTATATGTATTTATATGTATTTATATGTATTTATATGTATTTATATGTATTTATATGTATTCATATGTATTTATATGTATTTATATGTATTTATATGTATTTATATGTATTTATATGTATTTATATGTATTTATATGTATTTATATGTATTTATATGTATTTATATGTATTTATATGTATTTATATGTATTTATATGTATTTATATTTATATCTATTTATATGTATTTATATGTATTTATATATGTGCATTTATGTGTATTTATATGTATTTATATATGTGCATTTCTGTGTATTTATATGTATTTATATATGTGCATTTATGTGTATTTATATGTATTTACATGTATTTATTTAGTGGGTTGGTTGGTGACTTAGTTCTTTCGTTTGTTAGTTGTTTTTACTCGTATGATTTATTTGTGTACATGGCTGTATTTCATGTTCTTTCTCTCAGCTGCCACGAGCAGTCTTGACAGATGGCGACGGAGGGAGAGAGAGAGGGGGAGGGGAGATGATGACGACAACGATGACGACGATGAGTATGAGATGACGACGATGAGAATGAGCATGAGCAGGAAAACAATTTGGACCATTTCTCTTTGGTTTAGAAATGTAGAAGTCCATGGCATTCAGTAGTGTTCTTATAGGCCATACGACCAATGATTTGCACTCTCTATGTCCTGATGAATTGTCCGAGTTTAAGATCATGATTTCTGTCTTTCCAAGTTGAGGTTACAAGAGAAGGCCATTAATGTGAGATGTGTTTGGACCAGGCCTTAAGACCCAATTGTGGGTCAAAATCACAATATTTATGACAAATGGATGTCAAATGCTGAAGATGACCAACAGATGTTGTTGGTGTCCCAAGTTCGTCCCAGGCCCATCTTGATGGTTTGCACTTATACCCTTGAGGAACATCCATGTGATTTCATATGAAGATCTGTCAAAATCGAAATGACCATCAATGACCAGATTTTTTTGGGATGAGCACCCATCTACCACCTCATTTTGAGGCGCCAAAATTCAACCCCAACATATCCCAATTTAAAGGGGTGAACGCATCAACTTACAAACCATCTATGGTGAGTCAAAGTTAGTCACATATCCCTATTTTTATAGTTAAAATGAACATCCAACTTTCATTTCATGGCCAACATCTCCATACATCTCCGTATTTTTTGGGGCCTAACAGTTTTGAAGCCTTAGAAACTCACCATTTTTGTTGCCGTGTTTTCCGGGGTCCTTTGGGCCAAATGGGGACGACTTTTTTCGTCGCAGGCCTCGCAGATGTCTTGGCCCTGCGGTCTGTGGCTGTGGTGCTGGAGCTCTGGCGCTTGGCCCAGCTGCAAATGGTGAAGGCGATGAACCGATGGGCCTTGGTCAACCAGAATTTTCATCCATTTTTCCTATTTAATACTATTAAGATCTATTAAGGTTGGTATAGGTTGGTGATTTTGTTGGGGGTATGTCGGGTATTACTGGTTAACCATAAATATTAATTAATATGTTCCCAACTAACCTTATGATATTTTCATATTCAATGGTGTTAGTAACCATGCAAATGGTTAATTGGTCAACCATAATAATACCTCAACCAGTTACTTCATCCATTTTCCATATTTACTGGTTATGACTAACAGTTCGCCATGGAAAGATCCACCCATTTTTAATAGGTAAACCATGGTAAACCATCTATTTCTATGGGCCATTTTCCATGGCTATGTTAAATAACCAGAGGGTCATACTATTAAGATTGGTATAGGTTGGTGATTTTTTTTGGGGTATGTCCCATTTTCAGTCAGACCATGTCAGGGGGTTCATTTCTGAACATGTTGATTTGATAGGGATTCAATGGGAGATCCTAATCGTCACACAGCATTCCCAAATTCTATGGTTTACTATGGAAATCCATGGGTTTACCCCGGGAAATGATCTAATTACATTTCTGGTGACTTTTTCCACCTGGGTTTTCTGAGTCAAAATGGTGGTACACAGAAGGAAACCCCGCGAATCATTGGATTGGTTGAAGGGAACATCTTGACCGGAAACTCATGATTTTCCCGTAATTTTCCCATGAAACATGTTTTTTTTCTCCCATCAAACTCATAACTTTGCCTTTCAACGAATCCAACCAGGAGCGCGCCGCCCTGGACCTCCTGACCGCTGGACTGGAGAAGCTCCTGCAGAGAGGTGGGGGTGATTTGTAGACTCGTAGGCCATGTTCCGAATGGGAAACCCATGGGTTTTCCACATTTTTTGTATGTTTACCCCAAGGTACCAACAAATTGATCAACTTGGAATTATTGGGAGGTTATTTGTAGATGTTGAACGTCAGTAGATTGATTGACGGGCAAATCCACGGGAAAACCGTGTTTGGTTTTCCATCTACCAGGACCTTTAGGGGTTCCTGTAAAGGTTTCTATCATCCGAGTCTGGGAACGGCGTGCTTGCAGGCAGATGTCGATAAATTATGGTAAGTTCACCATGGATCTAACTGTCATCACCTTGCCATTCTCGCCGCCCAGTTGTGTGTTTGTCTGATTTTAGTCTTAGATGTGACGGTCGTCCATTGCCATATATGTGTGATTGCAGTAGTAGTGAGTACTGGAGGGTATGGATCAAGAATCGTCAAGAATTGCCAAGGCCATGGGATTCCAAAATTCACGATTCTTAGATTGACAAGCAGAGTGTGGTCGTCATTCTGGGATTTTTCCCCGTACGCTGCAAAATTCCGGAATAACCGCCCCACGTTATTATCTCAACAGATGTATACAGCATACAGCTATGCCGGCTATGCCCATCTGTCCAACATTGCAATGGTTTGAATGATATGTGGATATGTGCAAGTACCTCTTTGAAATTAGACGGGAGGGATCAAGTCCTAAAAATCCAAGCTATTTTGAAGTGAATTACAGGGGGTTCACTTGGGCGACTTGACCCCATGCCAAATCAAGGGCTTCAAGTCGTATCTCGCAGGGACGCTGCATGCCTGGCTGGCCAATGCCCACCTCGTCCGCCGACACGGTGAGATTCTGCAAACTGTGCACAGCGCGCGTGGCAGGCGCGCGTGGCAGGTCCTGTCGCCTGTGATGCCCAACTCAGAGATTGTCGGCATGTTTTTGTTGGTGGTGACAGTGTTTTATGTTTTATTGCTACCCCAATTTGGACCCGCACCAATGATATTATATATATATATTATATAGATATGTATAGATAACTACACACACATATATATGATTCATGGTTCATGGTGCATCATTTTTGTTTATTTCTATTTATATATGTGCATCCCTTCCTGATTTGGCCATCATGTCACTGCTCTCCGCGGCGCATCCTGAGAGGTCCTTGTTGGCGCATGCATTGGCCCAGTGGCATCGCAAGTGCCGAAAGAGTCGTTATGCAGAAACGAAGTTGCAAGGCCCAGGGGGACAGGGATGGGTGCAGATTTGCCCACCAAAATGGGGAGAACAGGAGAACACCATGCCAAATTCATCCAAATTCTGTGATCATTATCATAAGTTGGGATGATCAATACGCAAACATCAGCAATAGTTGGGATGATCAATACGCAAACATCAGCAATAGTTGGGATGATCAATACTTACTATGTGGATCTATGTGGTCCATCAGCAATAGTAAGGCTTATTTGTTCAAACATCATTATCATAAACATAGGGGTAGGCCGTTGAACCAGTTCAACCCCAACAGTTGTTTTTTTTTTCAACGGCAATCTGAGGATAAACACCAGCAAACATGAAATGTGTTTGGATATCTCACCACACTGCAGCGGTGAAAACCGGCATTATCCCAATCGAACCAGATAGCTAGCAGTAGCAGGGTCCCAACTTCAAATGACTTACCCTCCGCAAATCGAAATTATCAAACGCATTCAACCACGGCAAACCCATATTTTCCCATGAGCACCTCCATATCTATAGTCTATAGGGATCTATAGGGGATTTTCCAGTTTGCCACGTTTGATGTCACAAGGCCTACAAGGTGACATGCAGCGCTGCTTCCTGGTGCATCTCTGGGATGGCTGGCTGCGGTTGACCGCGCGCATGCGCCAGGCACCACTTCGCTGTGGATGGATGGCAACACACCTGGGGTTTTTAGCAGCTGCAGATTGAAGGTAATTTTGGGACAAACCTCATCCAATTTTATTGGGGCACTAGTTTTGACCCAGGGGTTCTATTATATACTACTGTACTGTAATCATTTGTAATCTATAGTTTGCAATCTATAGTCTGCACTCTAAAGTCTGTAATCTATGGCAGAAATTAGATCTTCCATCATCGCTGGTGAGCTGATTTGCAAGGCTTTGCACCTTTCCCAGTTGCAGAAGCGGAGGTGCCAGCAGAAACTGTTCGGGGACTGACAAATTCTTATATAGGATCTCATCTTCGAGTCTGACTCATGTCTCAAGTTGCCCAGCATACTATCATCATCAGTCATCAAAGTTCAAAAAAGGTTCGTTGCGGGAACAAGCACTGGTCATTCGAGTTTATTCGCCATAGGCTTGCCATCTTGAAAATAATGATTGCACCTTTGTCTCATGGGCAAAAGAGCCCTGCAGGGTGAATCTTTCTGTTGAATTTCATGGTGGATCACACCCACCTTGTTCGACACATGGGCCTGGCTCAAAGCTATTTTCTTCCTTTTGTTTGGTACCACAAACAACGAATGCAGCCTGGCAGCCTCAAATATCTTGGAGGTGTCACCCATTTTTATGCTCCATGCTCCATCCGAAGTCCCTACCTGAGATGATGTGGCACACATGACCACATGACGTTCAATGATAGTCTTGTGGTGACCTGCACACTCTTTCGGTCAAGAAATATGTCGTTTTGCGATCCATTTAAACTTAAACATCATTTGGTTGGGGGTTTTACTGATTTATCGTTGTTCAGCCATACTTGGAATGATTGGTTGATATGGCCAATATATTTTTTGGATGGGAGTTAAAACATCTTAAAACATCTTAAAACCACCAACCAGTCATTTTTTACGTCATGGAAATCCATAAAAGGTCCATCCAACTGTTGCCATGCCTTATGATGCCTCATGGTCCTGCGTGTGGTCTTCGCGCACGACGCTGCCTGGCCGTTGGATGCTGCTGCCGTGCCTCGGGGAGCTGGAGCTGGGAGGCCGGGGTGAACGTTCGGTGGGAATCGACTGATACGGTTGATATATGTTGATATCTTAACATTTCACTAAATCTGATCAGGATATTTAGTGAGTTCATTTAGTGGGATAGTTATTTCTACATCTAATTATCCCAGAAGATCCCACCAAATGAATGATCATGAGTTCTCTTTTCTCTTCTCACTGTTGTTTTGCATTTTTCGTGTGTATGGTAGCAGCTAAGGCTAGTCATGGAAATCTGACATGCAAACTTGGGAAACTGAGATCCCAACGGCACAGCATAGAGATGTATAGAGAGAGAGAGAGGGGGTTTCCTAAAATGGGGAGTACCCCTACATCATCCAGTTTAATAGCATGTTCATGCATTTTCCATTATAAACCATCCATTCTTTGTGCAACCCCACTCTCTCTCTCTCTATATATATATATGTTTTTTTTTCCTCATTTGTTTAATAGCACCTCGTCATGGGGCCTCTCGAGGTTCAAAGACACTAATTAGATGTAAACAACGAAAGCAGGGCTGACGTTTTCACAGTTGGCAACCGTCTCAAACCGTGGCAACTGCCATCAGTCTTTATAGATGGAACATGCCCTTGGGCCCATCAATAAGTGTGGCGGGCCGCATCATCTCTCATCAGATTAGAGGCTGGTATCCTTCCAAACTAGAGGATGTCCTCCAGCTTTCTGTTGATTGAGGTTAAGTCTCTCTATTTTGATGTTTGGACGCGCACCACTGTCATTGTGGTCTGTACATGTCTATTTGTTGTCTGTAAGTCGGATTTTCTAGAGGTGGCACTTGGGTAAACTAGCATAGATATGCAAGTCAACTATGGGGAACCCTCAGGAAATATCAGGAAACGATCCATTTCAATTGTGGATGATCCATTTCAATTGTGGATGTTCCATCTATATGGTATCATTGTAAATCAAGCAACATATCTCATCATATCCCCATGAATTTGCAGTATAGCAGCCCCCAAGAAGATACAACAGTAAAATCATGTAAAATCAAAATCCTACTAAAACAGTGGTACGGTATGGTACGGTACATTAAACATCATTAAACCTTTTCTAAATCTTTCTGCGGGGGTACTGAAGAAATCAACTCCACCATTGGCCTCAAAAACCCCCAGACATTCTGCTGTGCATTGCTGTGCCACGCCAGGTCCGTTCTGGTGACGATCGCCGGCCACGACTTTTCTGCGGCCTTCTGGGCCCTGGACCCGCCGGAAGCGGAAACGAAGTCAGATGCACAGCTGGTGTTGCCGGCATGGGTGGAACAATTGGGGGTACAGCAGAATGCGGAGGCTGAGGCTCACCTGGGGCCGGATAAGCTGGGAGTTGCTGAGGCACCTGACCTGAAAGCTGATCGAAATAGGCCTGAGATGTTTGAGATGTCCTTGAATATGATTCAATATGATAGACGAATTTGCACGGATCATATTCATGTGTAGGGACTGCAGCTTTATGTTGCCTGCAGTGTTCCAATTTCCTTTCTTGATCGATTATGGTGCCCCTACATGCGTGCAAAAGGTCAACCCAACAAGACACTCAAAATATTGCATCACACGTTTCCAGAGAAAGATTGTACGTAGATTTGCAGGGGGCTGCTAGATTCGAAGGTAATAATTAACTTAACCATACTTAACCTCCAAATTTCATGAAAAGATATGAAAAGCGTCCATTACAATCCATTGAAACTTCAGTTCCCCCCTGGCATGACTTGTCGAGCCGCTAATTAAATCCAATTTAGTGGACATTATTTGGGTACTAAGTACTACCATGCAACATCCCAATATCTCCCACTATTGATTGGATTAATCCGCAACTTTCTATGTCATGTTTCCAAGCACACAACTGCAGCCAACATCTGAGTGTTCCCGTACCTCCTCAATCATAAGGTTTTGTAAAGCTCCAAAAGTCGATGTTGATGGTGATTGATAACCCTTACATACCCTTACCCTTCGGGAATCTTATTTGGCAACAGAAACCTTCCCATGGTTTTCCTGTTTTCTCGCCATCCACTTCTCAGTAGTGCACCAGAGGGTAAAAGCCGCCATTAAGCACCAGTAATTAATTGGGTAGTAGTTAAGACATGTTAAGAACCCCTACCTGGATGTGCATCCCGTCTAGCAAGTTCATCGTAGCCATTATGAACCAGGGTGAATTCACCCAGTTATACATGGGATATCAACAATTATATATTGGTCATCGTAAAGCTAGTGTACTATATACCTAATAGCACTATGAAGTCGTGTTAACGTCCATTGACCATGCTAGGACGCATGAATTAACATGTTTTTACCGATGAACTACTTGATAGTCACCATCATTATTACCCAATTATGATATGTTATGATGGAATATGTATCGGCAACTCGGTTGATGGGCTATTATCCAGCTACCAACTAAATAGGATGTATATAAATCATTATAAATCAGGTTGAATTATTTTCCGGGTATTGTCCGGTCACAATGGTCACATTTTATACAGCATACACACATATTATAGATATATCATCCTCATCTACTATTGGTACATCAATATATTTATACAGATAGGATGAGACAGATAGATGGATAAATGATTAAGTGAATAAATAAATATAAAGAAACACAATATACATAGTTATAGATACCCTCTGGTAATTTAACATAGCTATGGAAAATGGCCCATTTATAGTTGATTTACCAAAATTAAAAAGATTGTGATTTTCCGGTTCGCTATGTTAAATTACCATGGGGTACATAGTTATAAGGTAAATCCTATCTTTAAGAACCCATACCATCTGGATAACCTATAGACATAGCTATGTTAAATAACCAGAGGGTACATAGATACTATAGGTAAATCAACTATAAATGGGTCATTTTCCAGTTCGCTATGTATACCTATAGTTAGTTATAGATACTATATGCCTATAGCTTTTCCTCATCTTATCCCAGCCGCAGGTCCGGGATGACGACGTCTCTTTGGTCCAGGTCGTGGAGGTGGAGGGCCCTTGGACGTCCTTCACCTTGGCCTCCTCAGCAGCGCGGCGTGCGCGGACGCCATGGGAAAGCCATGGGAAAGGCACCATCCAATGGCCACTTCAATGGGAAATATATGGGAAATATATGGCTCATAAACTCCATGAAATTAGGGGGTAGCCTATTTTCAGACAAACCCAGATGCTGACTAGACTTGACTGAAAAAAAAAACATGAAAGCTGATCAAACCTGAAAGTATGCTCCATGAGCATTGCGATCTTGAAGGGTACCCCAGTGAAATATCCAGATCATGTCCTTTTCCGACTGTTGGTTGATTAGTATTAGTGTGGGGATCACCTCCATTTTTCACAAACAACAGTAATGATAGCAAAATCATGATAAATGGTACGCCAAGCGCAGGTTCATCCTTTTTTCCGAGGAAGGCATTTTTTGGTGTCCCCATATGACAAATTGCCATGATATTCATAGTGATCACCATACTTTTTCATTGTCGATCATAGTTGCTGTATTTGATTCGTTGTAAATAATCAAGAGGGTTCATATGTCCATAGCCACAATGGATCATCGTCCATCAAAATCATTACAACCATCATCCAAATAACTAGTTTCCCTATAACAATCACCCATCATCTCCGACCTGAGACATCACACACACACAGAGGTTTTATAGGTATAATGCCCGTTTGAGTTTGAATCCATGCCATAATAGCGATACCTATTGCAGTAACCAACCAGTATCTTATGGGATAGGAATGCCCAAGATACCAACCTATTTTTGTTTGCTCAATCTCGTTAGAGTAATGTAGTCTTCTTAGACCCAACTCATTGCGGTGTCAATGTTAATTTGGGGCATGGTAAATCACAATTTTAATAAACGTAATCCCATTCTCGATTTTAGTATATTCCCCCATTGTTTACCCATCAAGAATCGTATTACTGTATTACATCATTCTTGCGTACCCTCCTATAGACTAACATAGATGTGGAAAACCCACCAGGACCATGTGTAGATCATTTTCCTACGGAACCCATGGGATTTTCCACATTGCTTATTCCTTACTTTACCCCAAGGCATTTTCCAAGTTTGGGCGTTAAAACCATTTTAAACCAGCCTGATTTCATGGCAAACATCTGAGGTCCTCTTCTGCCACACTGGGATCCTGGAGGCGTTGCAACGTCAGCTGCAGCGCTTACCGCTGATGCGGACGCCAAACGCGCACAGCTGGGCGGCGGTACGACTCATGGGGGAGGTCTACATCTTCAAGGCAGAGGAGTGCCTGGCAGTATGCATTTCTTTTAAATCATGACAGCAATGATATAAGGACATTATAACCTAGATTTGGGGATGCAGTCTGTACATGCAATATAATATTTGTATATATTTGTTTATAGTAACCAGATCCAAAATATATAGACTAGCAACCCAGCGTTTCCCCTTTGCACAGCATATCTGCTGCAGGTGATAAAGATTTGCACCGCAGAGGCCGACGAAAAGCGTTTGAAGGTCAGATCCTTGGCGCGCGACACCTGGAGACACCCCCCCCCGAGCTCAAGAACGGTTTCCCAACCGATTCCCGAAGTGATTTACTGTAGTTTATTTCACTAGGCTACCTGGCAGACATTTAGTGATTTAGTGTCACACGGCCGACATGGCCTGTAAGAAGATGAAAGAACTGTTCCTCAGCCTCTTTGAAATGAATCTTTAGACAGTGCAGCATGATGTGTTTATATTACTCATGTTTTACTCCATACGATCCCAGCCACATCCTCTGGAAGCTTGGTTCCTCGAAATGGTGATCTGTATGGATTTACAACTCAGTGAAACCACGGCGCGGGACCAAGGGAATATAATGGAATATACCCTCTGGTAAACTAACATAGCTATGGAAAATCACCATTTTCAATGGGAAAATCCACTATAAATGGCCATTTTCAATAGCTAGGTTAAATTACCAGAGGGTATATATATATATATATATGTAATACTCCCTGATACTCCCTGAGTTGTTGATACAAACCATAGGTTTCCTTCAGATATTTTTCAGCATCAATCCATAATCCATGCCAATCATCAGTTCCTTTGTTGAACTGTAAGTCCAGAATTATCAGACAGAGGCAAAATACATATCCACACTGATGATGGTTTGCCCGGCAACTAAGAACAGATGGCTTTTTGGAAGGCGAAGATGCCCGACCCTCATGTTCAGAGGGCAGCAACAGAATGCCTGGCAACTTGTTGTGGGGTTGATGCCCTGGCAGCGGATGATACATGGCCTACGCATGTAAATGGAGATGGTATAGACAGAGATGAATATTCTATACATGTATATAATATACACCGTGTAATCCACTAAACAAAAGGACGCACGGACATACGTATATTTATATACTATCATCCGGGGTGTACTGTATTTGTCAAGGGTTGCCAATCTTCTCAGCTGGATGGCGGAGATGTAAGGGGCCACTTGCCAGAGCCAAGGTTTTCTTAGGTCAACTCTGGTGAATGATAGGTGGCTCGTTTCATCTGGAGCCAGAAGTGGAAAGACTTGGAATCCCGATGAGAACTAAGTTTGTACCCAAGGTTGGCCACGCAAAATCCAATCCAAACTCCCTGTCAAAAATCCTGGTGTTAGTGCCCAGGCACTGCTGCGGAAATCACCCCTGGTGCTCTGCGAAAGCGGTCCACCAGGGCATGAACTACCCGGTTTCTTCCAGCTTCTACAGCGAAGCTGGTCTTCCGCCTTAGGTGCGCTGCTCAACTTTTGATCCGCGGGTGGACTGGGTTGGTTCAACCGATTCTGATGGGCTTATGCAGGTTATACCACCAGGGGTTTCGGAGAGTTCTTGGGACCGGTCATGCAACGAATCAGCAAGAAATGTTGAAAGCTGCATATGGATGCATATGGTTCGAATATGGAAGCCCCGAATTTGTGCCGTCTTTGTGCCACTTGTTTTCATGGGCTGATACTCTCCACTTGAAATTCTCTGGAACTGCCCCCCCAATTAAGAAAGCATTTGCCCCGCAGCTGTGGCACGCAGAAGTTTCCTTTCCAGGCGGTGAGGTTTTCTTCCTTCCTTTGGTGGAGCTGCTATGGGAGACCTTGCCGAGGAAGGGACTGCCACAAACCCTTGCGAGGCAGCTGAGGAACTTTCTGGAGCAAATGGACCTGACGACACTTGGAGCTTGATGGAAAAAAGAACCTTGAACCATGTCACGAAAGGTAGCTCCAGAGGGGCTACTTTGAGTTTTACTTTACGAAGTAAAGGGGAGGGCGGCCAGCCCCGTTACCTGATTCTTCAGGAGATTGCTAGTCATTTTAGTACCCCCCCCCCCTCCACACCTCCCACGCACCCTAAGAGCAGACTCAAAACATTGTAATTTACAGTATTTTTGTTCTTTTCGGATCAAGAAACCACATTTTGCTACATGGTGAAACCTCCGTAAATACCAGTGTTTTTGCTAGGTGCTGGCCAAAAAACAGTGTAAATACCGTGCTTTTTACTACCAGAGGCAAAAAACATCGTAAATACCGTGGTTTTGGGCTTCCGACCCGCCAAAAACATCGGTATTTGCGGTGTTTTTTGCTCCGAGAGTTGCAAAAACACGCGAAAACACCACCGATTTGACGATTTTCGGCCACTACGGAACCGAGCAAAAACGCTGCAGGGGTAACACCAACACCAACAACAACAACACCAACAGCAACAGCAACAACAACAACAACGACGACAACAACAACAACAACACCAACACACAACGCACAGTGCACAACGCACAACGCACAATGCACAACGCAAAACGCACAACGCACAACGCACAACACACAACACACAAAACACACAACACACACACACACAACACACACAACACACACAACACACACAACAACACACAACAACACACAACAACACACACACACAACCACACACAACAACACACACACACAACAACAACACACAACAACACACCACAACACACAACAACACACAACAACACACAACAACACACAACAACACACAACAACACACAACAACACACAACAACACACAACAACGCACAACAACACACAACAACACACAACAACACACAACAACACACAACAACACACAACAACACACAACAACACACAACAACACACAACAACACACAACAACACACAACAACAGACAACAACACACAACAACACACAACAACACACAACAACACACAACAACACACAACAACACACCACAACCCACCACAACACACAACAACACACAACAACACACAACAACACACAACAACACACAACAACACACAACAACACACAACAACACACAACAACACACACCAACACACAACAACACACAACAACACACAACAACACACAACAACACACAACAACACACAACAACACACAACAACACACAACAACACACAACAACACACAACAACACACAACAACACACAACAACACACAACAACACACACCACCACACAACAACACACAACAACACACAACAACACACAACAACACACAACAACACACAACAACACACAACAACACACAACAACACACAACAACACACAACAACACACAACAACACACACAACAACACACAACAACACACAACAACACACAACAACACACAACAACACACAACAACACACAACAACACACAACAACACACAACAACCACACAACAACACACAACAACACACAACAACACACAACAACACACAACAACACACAACAACACACAACAACACACAACAACACACAACAACACACAACACAACAACACACACAACACACAACAACACACACACAACAACACACACAACACACAACAACACACAACAACACACAACAACACACACAACAACACACAACAACACACCACAACACACAACAACACACAACAACACACAACAACACACAACAACACACAACAACACACAACAACACACAACATCACACACAACAACACACAACAACACACAACAACACACAACAACACACAACAACACACAACAACACACAACAACACACAACAACACACAACAACACACAACAACACACAACAACACCAACAACACCAACAACAACAACAACAACAACAACAACAACAACAACAACAACAACAACAACAACAACAACAACACGAATACGAACAATACCAACACCAACAACACGACCAACAACACCAACACCACCAACAAACCCAACCACACCAACAACACTAACAACACTAACAACACTAACAACACAAGAAACACTACCACCGCCAACAACACCAACAACACCAATACCAACAACACCAACAACACCAACACCACCAGCACCACCAACACCACCAACACCACAACCACCACCAACCCCAACCACATCGCCAAAGCCTTTCAGTCGCTTTTACCAGAGTCCCCTTCATAGTTTTGGAAAGAAAATGGCCGCGTCGCTTTTACCAGACTCCACTTTATGTATTTTTCCCTCCCCTCTCCCCTTCATTTTTTCTTCGGTTCCTTTCTTGCTTACCTACCTTTCGTGTTCCCCCTCTCAAGTTGAAATATCCCCCGTTGACATTTTCCAGTATAGCATGAGTGGGGTTGACCCCCAGTTTGAAGCGAAAAAATGGTAGCCTTTTTATTTGAAACATGGGTAATCTCCAAAATCAGTCTGGAAAAAGTGTTTTGCGGGTTGAATCTCGCAGTGTACTCACTACTGCAGGCAGGTATCCTAATTGGGGCGAATTGCAGGGAACCCGCAGCTGTTGTCACTATCTGCGGAGACTGTTCAACATATTCAGCAGCCAGTAATTCCAGGGAACCTTGTTGAGGTGTGCAGTTCATAGACGAAGAGGTTGGGAAAAGGATGGAAAAGGTACCGTTTTGAATTGGGAAGCCAGGGTATCACGGAATGCACCTGAGGAATGCAGATGTGTTGTTCCTGGGGCCGTTGGATGGGCCCTTACCTGAATGTCCACAGTGCCGTGGCACTCAATGGTACGCTTGGTTTACCTCCAAAGAGATCTGACATGAAACTCAAAAATGGCCAATGTTCATCCATTTCAATCCATTTGCATAGGAAAAAAACAATATCCCGTATCCCAAGTAATTGTTGTTCGGCTTCTAGCTTGGATTTCTGTCGAGGTTGTCCAGCCAGCTATGGCCCTTACAGAGCTGTTGCAGCTTGAAAGCACCTAGTTGACTCCTGGTGATGATGGCTGGAGGGACTATAGACTTGAAAGATGATGGGCTTCAAAAGCGAGGATACGAGCCTCAAGAAACTGAATGATTGCTGATTCACAGTGAGTTGGGGTAGTCCTGTATCACTTGTTCGAGAGGGAATGTGAAATACAGAACCCACCATGGGAAGCACGTTCAGCCAACCACCAGAATGGGATCACAGATGGCTCCGGGCAAACTCAAATGACCTCAGCAGGGGAATAATTTCAACATGGCTTAGTGTTACTCGTGCTTGCCCATGTTTTTAAATCAGAAATATGATCGCTTGCCCACGGGATTGCGATCGGGATGGTTCAAAACTCAAAACAATTTCTGATTGAGCATAGAAACAGCCATGGTTTCTTCGAAAATGGCCACCAAGAAATGAGCCAAGAGTCACTCCTTGAGTAATCTCTTCTGAATTTTGGGCTGACAAAAATAAACAAATGGATACATGATCTAATTCAACGCCTGCAATGTGATAAACCACTGGATGTTATAATAAGTCTATTTTTGATATCCGATACATGATGACATATGTACCCATAGGATCCCATGACCATAGGAACTGCTACCGCCAGAAGCATATCACCCTTGGCGATCCAGCCCTTAGACCAGGTGGATGCCGCCTGTTGGGCACCTGCTCCTCAAAGGACAGACTCGTTGGAGAGGGAAGAGATGGGAATTCAAGATGGATAGGAAGATTGATAGGTAGCTAGATAGGTAGCTAGATAGGTAGATAGGTGGATAGGTAGATAGGTAGATTGATAGGTAGGTAAAGAGATACAGCATTTTTTTTACAGAAAATACATTGAAAGACATATGATTTCATAAATGGAAGGGGGGTTGGCTGGGGGGGCGGGCAGATGGGCATATATCCATTTAGTTTCATTTATATGTGTGCATGCTATTGCATGGTGCGGGTTAGATTCACTTTCTTGTGGTTAGCATCCAAGATGAGCCGGGTTATGTGATACCTCTGACTGCTGGAGGGGCCTTGCCCTGGTTTGTGGTTTTCAAAGACTTTACATCAAAATAGTTTTCAACCTTCCAAATTTCAATACTATAGGAATCTATAGGATACGATAGGAACCCATATGGCTCATATGTTGATATTTTCAGTTGACTATGTTTGAGAAGGGTGTGGGATGATGGTGTGGGTGTGAAACTACACAACCAGTGCCCCAATGGCATCGGTGAAGGATCAGATCCGACCTGCGTTGCTGGAGCTGTTTCAAGACAGCCTCACTGACGCTCAGCACCTTCAGAGGGTTGAACATTCCGAAAAATACGTTGAAGACACGTTGACCCAAAGTTCGGTGCAAACAGATGCAAAAAGGCGGGTGGGGATACTCCGACACATCCTGTATTGAGGGATATGGATGGACATGGGAGCCTGAAAGATCTAGAAGCCAATGAGCACCTGAAAAAAAAAATGTATTATAATTAATCAACATATTTATATATTCCTGATATTGGTCTTCCTCAAGCATCCTTCCTTGCAAGAGATTGAGCGGAAACGTTCTGTCCTTTTTCTCAGACTCGTTCGTTATAATATGTTCATGTGATTCATGCATTTCTACCCACAAGGGGAACAATACTGGTAGCATTTTCGGACTTTTGTAATGTCAATTCCCTCCAGTTTAGTTTGATGTGCAGCAAATCTTCGTTTAATCATTTTAGTTGTGGGTAACAATTTAACATTATATGTAACAATTGTTATTGAAGTCCCGGGTTGAAATTACAGCGCTGAGGAGGATGGGCACCTCCCTACGCTCCACTTGGCACTGCCCCTGCCCCCGGCAGCTGCGCCGGGCCGTGCCGTTGGGCACGGCACCTGCGGCCGCAGGCAGTTGAAGGAGGAATTGCGAGCGAATCTGGGCGGACTGGAGATTTATGGTTGGCTAATCTGTTGGCCAATAGTTGAAGTTGCAAATAATTGACTAACCAAAAAAACAACTAATAGTCAGTTGATTTAATTATAATGGACTAATATAGTTGAAAAGCAGGGGGAGAAGGAAGAAGTTGATAGTTGATGAGGTGATTCAGTGATACGAGGTGACTGCCCTTCTCCGACTGTGGAGGATCCAACACGTTCGCCAGCTATGGGGGGTAAATATTCAACAACAAAGCGTAAATCGTTATTGTATAGATAGAATGCATACCACAAATGAAATGGTGAATGTGTATGAAGGTGTGTGTAGATGTGTGTAGCTGATGCTTGGTTGACCACTTTGTGGTTCCATCACCACAGCACTTTGATTGGTTTGCCAAAGTTGCTCCAAGTTGACCAAACTCGGTGGTCAGGCTCAAGCCTCATTACAGCCAGTACCTGGCTACGGTTGATATGGGTATGGCTCAAAATTATTCGTGGTGACCCCTGGGAAGATGTATCCTATGCACAAAAATAAAAAGGACATTACCATCAAAATTGCTGGGACTGCTTTTTATTGTTTTTATTTTTTGGACCCATTGTAGTTTGTAATTGCAGATAACAAAGCTTATAATGTTATAATGTGGTGATCGCTTGGTGAGGGCAACAGTTTGCGCAAGTTTGGGCCAACTCCATGTCACCTCTCAAGGACAGTGGTGAACTATTTCACATCGGTCACTTGGCAGATACTCAGGTGGCGACCTTGACATGTCCTGGGCATGTCATGCAGTGAACGTTGGTTGGGGATGAAGTTTCTGGCTGGTTTTCAAGTAGTTGTTTTTTCCCATCCTGCTGGGGCAGAATGCTAGTTGTAGCAATGGTAGATCCAGAGCGAGTTCGGTTTGGGAAGGTAAGGATGCATGCCTCAGAAGTTGCAGGATTTGTAGGATCAGAGTTGGGTCCACAGCATATCGACACTGTACCAGGGGATTAGCAACCAAGCACCACACCCCACAGGGCTCTGCACAAGGGTAAAATCAATCAGTTGCAGTTAGCAAGTAAAACAGCTATCAACAGAAACAGTGATCTGATCTTATCATATCTTATCCACATTTACTTATCCATATTTACAAACCACCCCGATGCTTCCCGGGCTGCACAAGCAAGTAGAGTTCAGCTGGTGACCCAGGCCGAAACCTTTCATGCCATGGGAATCTCCTGGGCCCCGCGGAGTTTGCTGCATGGCCCACCGGGCAGTGGCAAGACGCAGCTGCTGAAGTGGTTGGAGAAGCAGGTTGCCGATGGCCTGGGAAAAGTGGGATAGCACTGCTGTGCATATGCATAATATACAGAGGGGGAGAGGAGGGAAACATGGGGAAACATGGGGAAACTATAATATATGTTAATATACAATTTATACAATGGTTTATAATTATCATGTCAAGTTCTATAGACCAGGGACTTGACAGTCGCTCCCTTTTGGAAAAGGTGGAGCCGCATGCAGAAGTTACATGGCTACGACCTGCAGAAATTTGGTCGCGGTACTTGGGCGAGAGTGAGGAGCATGGCCGAAACCCCTGTTGGTTGATGATTAGTTGGGGGGTCATACCAACCGATATTATATGGTTTTTTTTTAAAATGGTGGATCCCTAAAACCAAAGGGTTCAACACTAAAATGGTGTAACTTTGGATGATTTGGGGGTACCCCCATTTTAGGAAACCACCATATTGGGAATGATACTAACCAGATGGTTTTGAAGACTGCTCATGTGGGTGTGTTTGGAAATGGGGTGTAGAGATATGCCCAAAGATTGGGGATCTTAGAGGGAAACAGATGATAAAGCAGTGGATGGAATGGGGCATCCTATTTTTCAGACAAGCCCGGCAAGCCCGTGTGATTCTGACTGATGGCTTCAATAGATCCTCGGCCATTTGTGATCAGAGGCAGTTGACTGATGTTCTTCTTGGTGTTTTATATTTCTCAGCCAAGCACCTCTCCTTCTTAGCCAGCACCTTTCGGAAGGTCCTGGGGCTCATTTGTTTCCTGCCCAATACGCCCTTCCCTACCAGGAGCGTCTTCGAAAAGCCTTTGCTACCATCCAGACGCTCTATGGAGAAGTATTACTGGCCCTGGCAATGGAAAAATCATCATTTTTCAACAGAAACGTCAGGGTTGTGAACCATTGGTGGGATGCCATGGGCACGACCAAATCCTGGTTCCGTTGTTACAACATCGGAGCTCAGGAAAAAACATGCTGCTTTGCTACTCTTGGAAGGTCTGGACGAGCACCTAGGCAGGAAAAAAGGCTGGAGGATTGCACTTGCAGGCCATCCCACTTCGAATTCTATCGCTCTCGGATAAGGTTTGTGAGGCCGAGCTCAGCCGATTCCACAGGCGTTCATGGACGCGGCTTGGCCGAAGTGGCAGCCACAGTGTGAACCACGGGGCGCAGCATTTTGAAGGGTGGGTATAGTGCCGCGGTATGATGGAATTGGTAAATTTTGTGAAGATAAACGATCGAAAAATATCACATGGGAAATCATGGGAATATGTGGGCTGTTGCTGGGTGGATCTTGATCAATTCAACATCTTTGTGATGGTTAGTCAAAGCTGGTTGAAATGTCCCTAATGCAAGGCTCTCATTCAGACTGCCCATCAAGGGCAGAGATATCAAAAGATCCCCAGGAAGTGAAATCTCTGGAGAACGAACACGGGACTCCGAAAAAAAAATGCTTTGACATGTTGGAAGGATTGCAGTTCCCAGTTGTAAATAACATAATTCATAGCACATTCCTGGAAGAAATGGTGGTGTTGAAGGTCAATTTCGAAAATCTGAGTAATGTAGGCTGCCTAATAATAACCCCCCCTAAATTTTGACTTATTTATTTTTTTGGGGGGGTCAGCATTCCAATAGTAAATTTGGATCAGATTTCTGGAATCTAAGCTTTAGTTAATGAAAAGTGCTTGCTGCTTTGAAAAGGGTTTTGCTTTACTTTGCTTTCTCCAAACACCTGAAAACAAAACCAGGGGAAGCACAATTGGAATTCATTATTGCCATGCCTGGTGCAGGTTTATTATTGCTATTCTGGGGCTTGTAAAGGGGATACCCTTTGTGGACCTGTTTTCTTGTCTTTTTATATAAGGGTTTTATAAGGAAATCAGCTGTTTGGTAATTGGATCAGATTTCTGGAATCTAAGCTCTGGATACTATACCATGCCCTCTGGACAAGGTCAGAACATGAGTTTTTTGGCAATGCTAAAATTAAATTAGGCTAATTGACTTTTAGTATTGGAGAAAAATCTGGAGTTGGAAAAAAGTTTCTACTATTGCCATGTTGGGTCCACTATTGGCCATGCCCTCTGGACAAGGTCAAAACATGAGTTTTTTGGCAATACTAAAATCAAATTAAGCTAATTGACTTTTAGTATTGGAGATAAAACTGGAGTTACTTGAAAGGTACAGGATCTATCATACCTCAGGTTCATTGTTGTCCATGTAACTGTTCTGGCTCTAGAGCTCGACCTAGGTAAACACAAGACCTCGTCACAAGCAGTCAGAGGAAAACAGACATTTGCGGAAACAGTACTTCTTTGTCACTTTAGTTCCTCTACTTTTCGAGTTGGTAGCGGAGCCGGGAACCCCGGCAGTAACCCCCATTTAAGGTATCTGCTATACCCTAAGGGTCGACTCGACTGTTTTCATTTTCTTTTCATCCTTACTCCATTGATTGTCATCATGTTCACCGCCGTGCTGAAGTTGTGTGCCGTGTTAGTAGTGGCACTGGTGGGGTCTGTCTCAGCCAGTACTGGGCTGGTGATCAAGAGTCGCAATACCAGCGCTCTTGTGATCCAGTCCAGTACGGTTGGGGCAGGCTCGATCAGTGTCACTACACACTGGTATGCAGCGAGCAATGGTCGCAAAGCCCCAGTACAGGCCAGGCCCGAAGGCGAGTACAAGCCCAGTCTGGTGAATGGGGATCAGTGGAGGCAGGAGCTGAATTCGACCCTGGTGCGGCTGCACCACTCAAGGAGGAAGTTCAAAACGAACCCTCGGGATCAGCGTAGGGCAGAGCTTTTGCGTAGGCGACTCAGACGACAGCAGAGATTAGTGTTTGAAAGAATGCTAAACATGTACGACTCTAAGCTGAAACATCTGAAGTCTCGTCACAAGGAACTCTGTGAGCTGGTCTATGGGAAAGATGCAGCCATTAGATCCAGGAACCAATGCATGACCGGATCCAAAGCAGGCAATCGGAAGGTGAAGTCTCCTGAAGCCCATGTCAATTCGGGTTCGATGACCGCTGGTCACCGTGATGGTAGATCGCTCTCGGATTCGACACTATTGCTAGCCGCTGGAGGCGGCCTTAGCACATGTGCATTAGTGGCTTGCATGGTGCCAGGAAGGAGTAGCCATCCTAGATTGCCCCCCGCATGGAGCCCAGAAATGGAGCATCAGTATAGCTTCAGTACTTGGTCTAGGGACATCTTAATTTGGAGCATTGCTACCGATGGGGATGCATCTCGAAAGGCGGCTAGTGTGATTTCTCAACTGCAGGGATCAGCCAGGGAATTCAGCAGAACACTTCCGCCGCAGACCATTCTGACAGGGGGGACCGTAAATGGTACCCAAACCGACCCACTGACGTTTTTGATGTATCAACTTAGCACCCGATTTGCCAGGCTAGGTGAGGAAGTCCGGCTAGGGGCAGTAGGAGATCTGTTGTCATTTGGAAGGGAATCCAATGAAAGGATCGACATGCTGCTGACTAGGTTTGATACTACCCGCATGCGTGCGGCAGAGACAGGTGGGCTCGCCCTGAGCTATGCTGGTCTTTCTTGGTTGCTGATCCGTGCCGTAGGTGTCTCGGATTCTCAATTGATCCAACTTCTACAGCCACTCGGTGGTGCTCTCCCTGCTGATGAGCAGCAATTCACAGGGTTGAAAGACTCCATCAGACGTATGGGTAGGATCATTGAAAATGCACCAGGAAATATGTCCAACATGTTGCGGGGTAGACAACATCCAACCCACAGTTACCATATTCAGGACGAGCACTCATGGAATGAAAATGTGTTCACATCTCAGAATGACCAACCCAGTAGTTCATGGCATGACCAGAGTTCTTGGCAATCCCAATGGCATTCATCCGAAGCATACCCCACTTATACACAGCCGCAAGATCCATACGTGTATTTGTCAGAGTGTCAGGGTGACAGTGGCACAGACACTGACACCAGCAGTGACTATGGCGAAGAAGCCTGGCCAGCTGCTGAGGGTGCCACGGCCAATGAGCAGGCTGCCGAGCTCTACTGGGCCTATTCTCGTGCTAAGGCACGCTGGAGGTCATTCATGGGCAAGCCGACCCGAAAAGCTCGGAGGTTTGCCCGCAGAGCCATCTACAAAGGTGGAAAGGGTGGTAAGTCAAAACATGGAAAACCCAAAGGCAAGATCATCAATACTTCATCTTATTTGTCCGAACTCAATGAATCCCAGCTCATGGAAATTTTCCCTGCCTTTAGGGCAAAAGGTGGAAAGAAAGGGGCAGGGAGTGGCAAGGGTAAGGGCAAAAAGGGCAATCCAAGAGGCCCGGATGGACGTAAGATGAGATGCCACGAATGTGGTTCGGAAGATCATCTGGTTGCCAAGTGCCCAAGACGGGCTGCAGCCAATGACTCGTCTCAGAACTTGTTCGTAGACTTGGACACCGCCGACCAGATTCCCCCAGGTGTAATCACATCAACCACGGTCCTCATGGTCAATGAAGTAGATGCTAATGTTGGACAAGAATCCGGAACTGATCATTGGTCGACAGTTTCTGGTGGACCCCCATCCAATGCATCCACATTACCAGCAGCACCTCAGGACCCGTGGACCAATAGTGATCCTTGGAGGCGGTACACCGAGAGCAGGACTGGGAGACAGGTCATTGGGGGGATTGTGAATCCAATGCCACCACTGCCGCGCACGACCCGGGCAGTGGATATGGCCGATCAATCCCTGTACATGCAAAGTGTCTTCAATGGCCTGAATGGCCTGATGCATCCGACCACAGAACCACGATCTTTTGGACCGCCAATGATGAACCAATTTACCCATAACACCCCACTAGCCACTAATCCAATGAATAATCTTCCCCAGAATAACCCCACTAATCCACAGGGCAGAAATGTAACCAGCGAACCATTTTTACAGCAACCTGTTGCAGAATCGACTACTATCCAAGAACCATATGTTGCCCAAGCCACGCAACCACCACCAATGCAACCACCACCGGTCCATCGGCACGAAGTGCCACAACACCCACTGATCGTGGGACCAGGGGAGATCCCAACAGTGATCCTACAACATCCGACCCCGGAGTTGCCAGAATGGGCATTGATGCCCGAGTTTAATTTCTTGCAGGGGACTGCCTCGGAAGTGCGTGCACCGACCTATCATCCGATTGTCTCAGAGAATGCTATCAGCACACTTGACACGATCCGTAGTCAAGTTGTGGGGGAATTTCATCAAGCAAACCAGTTGCGTGAGATCCCAATAGCTTCTAGAGTATCAGAAAGGGTCAGTGAGCCAGCATTCAATCATCCGCAGGTACGTGCTCTTCATCATCAGCACCGGACGATGATGACACTGCAGGAGATGAGGACTCGTGAATCGGAAGGTTCGAGGAGTGAGGTGAATCCGGCCCCCACAGTAACACCCTCGAATAATCCCACAGAACCCATGGTAACTCCAAATGTCGGACAACCCAATGTTGAATACTTAGGGGATGAACACCGCTGCAGCATTTGTTTGGAAGAATATAGTGCAGGAGAACAACTGGTGCGATTGACCTGCAGGCATACCTTCCATGAAAATTGTTGGACTGAAGTTCTTTTGAGGGAAGAAAATCCAACATGCCCATGCTGCCGCGGTGGGGGACAGGTAGTTGCACATTATCGCTACATTGCACCCACATCTCCAAGAGCAGATCAACACGATGAGTTTAGGACACCACACGGGACACCCACTTTTCCATGGTGGCCGGAGACATCAGAGGCGTCTGGAGCCACATCCACATACCATTCATCCACCCAAGTGCCTGGTCATCAATCAATTGTAGTTGATCCAGGGGCATGGACCAATCTAGCAGGTCAGCAATGGGCTGAACGCCAAGCCACAGCCGCGCGGAATGCGGGCTTGAGGTCGACGCGTAAGTCCATGACCAACCCAATGGCCGTCAGGGGAGTAGGACAGGGTACCCAAAGCTGTACGCATGTTGCCACATTGCCGATAGCAATACCCAACATCATCCACCCCCGCTCTCAACCGGAAGAAGGTGAAGGTCATTTGGTTAGGGGCGAATCTGTATCATTCAACTTCGAAACCCCCATGGTAGAAGGGGAGGGCCGTGACCTCCCGGCACTAC